TGTAGGCATCCCAAGCAGCAAGCTAACTGGTATGCCAAATGCTTCTCCCAGGTCTCTGTATTTTTGCTTATATTTTGTCTGCTTTGATCAGTTCTGAACAGGGTAGATTAAATAAAGAGTAACTGATTTTTTTCTGATAGTTCTGTTAGAGTTTGAGTCCTGTTGTTTAAAGAGAATTTGTTGTTGTTGGGGCGATCATATCCTCACATTTCATGAAGTATAACCTCTTTCTGTGTCTCTAAATTGCTTTCAATTACCTTTTTGAGAAAAGTTTCAAACCTTTAGGAACATTGTAAGTAGATTGCAAAGAAAATTAATGTACTCTTCACACATTTACCAATTATTCTTTCTCATATTTGTTGCTTTTTTAGTCTTTGTTTACTGAGCCATTTGAGAGATAGTTGTATACAGTGCTTTACAGCTAAATTTAAGTAACGTGGACTCTTTCCTACATTGCATATACTTTGGAAATTTAACATTGATAACATTATCAAATCATACCCAGATTTTTTATTTTTAGATTTATTTATTTTATTTGAAATGCAGAGTTACACAGGGAGGGAGAGATCTTGCATCTGCTGGTTCACTACCCAAATGGCTACATTGACTGGGGGCTGGGCTAGATTGAAGCCAGGAACTTCATCTGGGTCTCCCATAGGGGTGGTAGGGACCCAAGCACTTGGGCCATCTTCTACTGTTTTCCCAGGTGCATTAGCAGGGAGCTGAATTAGTAGAGTAGCTGGGATTCGAACCTATGCTCAGATGGAATGCTGGCATTGTTGGTGGTGGCTTAACTTGCTGCACTAAAACGCTGGCCCCAGATTTTTCTTAACTTTCCTGTTAATATTCTTTATTGGTTTGCTCCCTGTAGCGTTTTTCCTCCTCCATTCATGAACCCATCAATTACATTTAATTTTCATGTTTTAAGTGTCCTTAAATCTAGAATAGTTCTTCACTGTTGCTTTTCTTTCATGTGATTTTGAAGAGACCGGGCCAGCTGCTTTGTAAAGTGTTGTCTTGGGTGTGTTTCAAAATGAATGGATTCAGACAACTTTTTTGGGGGGAAGACTGTTATATTACATAGTAATGTTCTCTTTTCAGTCCATCTTCTGGAGGCCTGTGATGGTAGTGGTCCCTAGTGTGAGATTATGTTTGATCATTTTGTTTAGGTGGTACAACCAGATCTCTCTGTTGTAAAGGCATCCTTTTCTCTTTGTAATTAGTAAGGCATCTGTGACATGCTGCTTACAAGGAGAATGGATATCCAGCAGTCTCTAACTCAGTGTTTCAAACAAAAATGAACAGATGCTATAAATCTGATCTTGTGATAGTGGCTTAAAATGGTGATTTTCCATTTCTGTTCTGTTAGCTGCCATTTTTCTTTAATTTTGCCTTCTTATTTCATTGAGTATTTAGATTGATTTTTCCAGCTCTTATATATTTTCTTTTTTATTCTTTGTCTCACTTTACTGGTTTTGTTCTGCTGTGCACTGGATAGATGGAATTGTCTTCTGTTAGTTTAAAAGTTGTCCACTTATTTTATGTGTATGTGTTCTTAGCCATTTGCCTTTAATTTTAAAAGTATGTTCATTTATGAGCACTTCTCTTGGTTTTTAGAATCTATCAATGTCTGTATCTTGTCGTTAATAAAGACAAGTACTTTATTATATTCTCATGTCCATGGGCAAAGTCTTCCCACCCACTCAAGTTGATATATCAGATGTTTAGTTCTTTTTATTGTGGATATGCTTTTTTCCCTTTTTTTCTGTCTCTCTCTCTCTCTCTCTCTCTCTCCATCTGTACCTTCCTCCCTCTTATTTCTGGCTTCCATTTTTCCTTCTCACTTCTTGTTTTTGTTTTTGTTTTTGTTTTTTGTTTACTTTCTGGTAGGCTCTCTTTTAGAAGAAGGCTGGATATTGTATAATTTACTTTTTGCTCTTTTCCTAAATGATTAATAATTAAAAGTAGAGTTTGATACTTAATGTATGTAGGTATAGAACTACTCCTCGAAATGGACCAACTTGTTCTCTGCCACACATGAGGCGTTAGTGTATTAAACATGGTGACATGGTTCCAGGTCCAGCTGGTGCTCTTGAGTGTAGGCTTCTTCAGTTCTTCAGGCAGTTTTAACTTGCCTTAAAAATGAAATGAATAATACTGAACTTGGAGAGGTTTTTGAGGATTGAGGTAGTATAGGAGCATAGAACTAGCTAAGAGTATTAATTGCTAAAAATTGTTAAACCAAGAGTAACTTCTAAAATGCCAATAATTTGAAAGTAAAGATTTAAATAAAAAGTACAACTGCTTGATTTCAGATCTAAATCTCAGTAAAATAAAATCTTAGATTGTACCTTTCATAGGCTGCATGCATTATCCATGAACATTTTGTTCTGTTTCTGTGTAGCAAAAGAAAAAGTTTGTTTTTTCCTAGCTCAGAATTCCATTCAGATCACACATTGGGTTTTGTTGTCACATTTCTTCACTGATTTTTCAGTATGGAGCAGTTCCTGCCTTTTTTAACCTTGACATTTTTGATGAGTAAAGACTATTTTTTGGTAATCTCTTCCAATTTGAGTTTTATTTCTTTCAGTCTTAACCTTGTTACAAGACACTGTCATTACAAATATGGAATCTCTAAAGGTAATGATTCAAAGTGGTGTTCATGTTTAAATTCTTATGCTTCACCGCAGGTGCAATACTTGTTAGTGTCAGAATGGAAGCATAAATACTATGTTTCTTTGAGTGTGGAAGTGCTGTCCGGTACTTGAGTGGAAAGCTTTTATTGTGTTTGTAAAGACAATGGGCAAAAGAAGGTGAGAGAGGGGTAAGATTTAGACATCTTATATTCCAGAACTCATCCGAGTGAGAGAAATGGCACAACTAACAGCTGTGGCCATTTGTTCAACTTGTTTACCATTTTTATCTCACTAGTCATATGTTTTACTTTAATTTTCATTCCAACATCTAAAGAAAGGCTGAAGTCTTGATGGCAGCTGCGTGTGAGGAGTAGCCTGTTCCAACTGCAGAATAAACTCATTTTTAATAGTTGCTGCCCAAATTGTATCTATACCACATCATTATGATGCTTTTATTTTGTGGCTTCTGAAATTAGACTCTTATCCGTAAGATCAAGTTTTCAAACTGTTCATAGAACAAATAAGTAGAATTTCTTAAGAAACTTGCAATAAATTTAGAGCAGTGTACTTGCATATAAGTTAAACCACTCATTTCAAGTTTCATAACTGGAAAATATTCAGTCTTTTTTAGTTGTTATTGCATAATTTAGGTATAAGTAAATTTTAACAATTAATTTATTTTCATTTTATTTTAAAAGCAGAGAGAGTGCACCTGAGAGAAAATTAATATGCGCATTCCTTATGTGCCCCCAACAGCCAGGGCTGGGTTAAGCTAAAGCCAGGAGCCAAGAACTCCATCTGACTTTCCCAGGTGGGCATCAGGGACACAAGTACTAGAGCCATCACCTACTGTCTCCCAGGATGTACGTGGCGGCCATTTGGGGGGTGAACCAATGGAAGGAAGACCTCTTTCTCTCTCTCTCGAACTCAGGCACTTTGATATGGCATGTGGGTGTCTCAATTGGCATCTTAATCACTATGCCAAATGTCCACTCCTAATTCAAGCATGATTTTTATTTTACACTATTTGACAAGCATAAATTAGAAGGACCAGTCAGGTGGTTTGCTTGACTGGCTTAGTGTTAAGTCCCTATTGTGGTTATTACTAAGGGGAGGAAAGTATCTGAAAATTGGATTTTCAGTGAGGAGTATCTTGTGTTAGACGTAGTTGTCTGTCTGATTAGCAGTGGGACTTTCTGGATAGAATATTAAAGATGCCACAAGCTTTTTGCAGCTAAGTGACTTGAGAAGTTAGTCAAGGAAAGACAAAACAAGCCAGCTTCAGAAGACTCTTAATAACAAAAGTTGTGAGAGGGTTTAGAGCTTTGTCAAGATAATGAGAAAACTGTAGTTACTAAATCTTTATCCCAAAAGAGTATCTTCTTTAGTAGTAGGGAAATGAGAATAATACTTAAGTAAAGTTGCAGGCATTGTTTATGTTGAGGGGAAAAAAGAAGACACTTCTAAAGTTAGAACACCTCTTTTATTTTTTATGAATTGGATTACTCATCATTTCAGATGTTGCCTTCTGCTAAATTATTCCTTTAACATGAATTGAATTGACTATATTTTGTTCAGTCATATTCCTAAAATGTTAGATGAAATTCATTTAATGTTTTGAACTTTATATTTTTAGATATACTATTAAGATTACACAGCTGTTGCTTGGAGATGTATGTGAATTACTTTGAGCACTAGGATCATCATTTGGGTACTATGCCAGCTGATAGTCAGCTGCTGGGAATCAAAAGAAGCTAACACATGAGAAAAAAAAATTTTCTTGATGGATGAGCATCATACTTCAGAATGTTCTGGGTAGTGCTTGCCTTGTTTTAAGCACCTATTTGTCATGACAAGCAAGTTTTATGGTTAGGGGACTGCCTTTAGGGTTTTTGTTAGAAAACTAGGAGGGTTTATTAAGAATTAGAATAAATGTGAGCAGCAGTGCATGTCAAGATTTGTTTCATTAAATCAAGTTCAGTTTCCCCACTTTATTTGTTTAAAATGCATTGATTAGTAGAAATATTTAGTTTGGTTCTTTGTGTCATGGGTTAATTTGGTAAGACTGAGATGTTCCTGAGTTCCAGATGAATAGCACTGATGCTGTATGTATTGAGTTCTACACGCCTATTTTTTCCCCTCAGTCATGAATCCTCTGTTCATTTAGTGTGTATGTGGTTTGTAACCTTGTAGTTTTAGCAAAGACTGTCCATAAAGTATTTTGTGCTTATAGTAACATTTCTGTAAAGAAAAAATTTCCCATTAACTTCAAACACAAAATTGCATATTATTTCTCTTTGTGCTTCTGTAACAGAATACTGGAGAGTGGGTAATTTGTAAAGGACAGATATTTATTTCTTACAGTTTGGAGACTGGGAAGTCTGGAGTGGAGGGGCCTGTGTCTGGCGAGGGCCTTCTTGCTGCATCATCCCATGGCAGAAGGTAGAAGGGAAAAAGATTAAAACAATAGCTGTCATGGTTCGTGCTAGGCATTTTTATCCATTTACTTATTTGACTTTCAAGAAATAATTGACTATGCTTCAGATACTAATAGTATAGTTAGAGTTGTGTTGCAGTCCTCTACACTGGAACGTATTCATTCTAATAAACTATTTTGAAACAAATTGGGCAGATACAGTGAGAATCTTGCATGGTGGGATATGTGCCTAGAGTTCTGTGGTGCTTGGTGGCCTGCTTGAAGTGGTGGCATTCTGAGAATGCCTGGATGTAAACTCAGAGAGTAGACTGAGCAGTCACAACTGAGGAGGTGACAGAGAGAAGTATTGCTTTTTTACTTGACCTTCAGGCGTAGCAAGGTTCAAAGAGGAGATTGTTGCCCCAGGATTTAGTAGATTGTTGTAGTGATGTAATTTCATTAAAATTCCAGAAACAGATTTTGTGTACTGTTTGAAGATGTCCTCACTCGAATTTAAAAATTTAAAAAAAAATGCATAAACTTTATACTTTTTACAGCATGAAAGAACAGTTTGCCCTTAAACTTTGCATCTCGCAGTGTGCCAGAGAAGCAATGGAATTGGCTCTCAGGATAACAAGATTGTCTCCAGATCTGTAACTTCACCTCAGCTTTCAGTGTGTGCATACTCATTTCAGTTTCTTTCTAAGGTGGATTGAAAAGAGAATTTTTTATGGCTGAATCATGTAAGAATGATAGGTGTACTCTTCATTCACATCAGCCAGTTCCAACAGTTTTCACTGCAAGCAGCCACTGAGTATGAACAATCTGGTTTGTTGATATTATCAAAAAAACCACAGCATTAAGACCACTTTCTAGCAAAGTAGCTTTTAAAGATGTGTTAATTACCATTCCACCCTGTTTGAACATTTTGTAGAAGCACAGGAATGAAATTCCAAAATCTCTTCAATGTCATATATATAATTTGTGTTTAGTTGAAGATAAATGATAAAAGTGGACTGCCGTTTTTTTATATTATGGCCAGTAATTTGATTATCCTGTACTATAATTAATTTCCGAATACACTGCCAAAGTCTGAACAAGACCTCATACGCTAGTGATTCCTAAGTCACTCTTAGCTCACATCACATGTATTCTGTTGTCAGTGACAGTTGTGTGACTACTGATAAGCAGTCTGTACTCATACATATTTTTTATATGCTTACATAGTTTTGGTATTCACCTTGAAATTCAGGCTGTTGCTTGTCACATTAGCACTCTTTAGTTTTTTTTTTTTTTTTTTTTTTAAGATTTACTCATTTATTTGAAAGAGTTACACAGAGAGAAGGAGAGGCAGAGAGAGAGAGAGAGAGGTCTTCCAGCCACTGGTTCACTCCCCAATTGGCTGCAATGGCTGGAGCTGTGCTGAACCGGAGCCAGGAGCCAGGAGCTTCCTCCAGGTCTCCCATGCATGTGCAGGGGCCCAAGGACTTAGGCCATCTTCTGCTGCTTTCCCAGGGCATGACGGAGAGCTGGATTGGAAGTGGAGCAGCTGGGATACAAACCGGTGCCCATCTGGGATGCCGGCACTGCATGTGGCAGCTTTACCCGCTATGCCACAGTGCCAGCCCCAGCACTCTTTAGTATTTCTGTGTTCTCATACTGGGGCACTTGGGCACCTATGAGGGCAGATCATAACTCAAATGTGGCATATCTACCCGAAATGTTAAATTTACTGAAAGAATTTTTGGAAGAGCCTCTTGTTTGTTTGTTCTAAGATTTATTTATTTATTTATTTGAAAGAGTTGCAGAGAGAGGGAGAGGCAGAGAGAGGGAGATCCATCTTTCATCCACTGGTTCACTCCCCAATTGGCCACCATGGCCAGGGCTGAGCCAGACCAACGACAGGAGCTAGGAGCTTCTTCCAGGTCTCCCATGTGTGTGCAGGGACCCAAGCACTTGGGCTATCTTCTGTTGCTTTTCCAGAATCATTAGCAGGGAGCTGTATTGCAAGAGGAGCAGCCGGGACTTGAACTGGCGCCCATAAGGGATATCGATGCTGCAGGCTGCAGCTTAACTTGCTACACTACATTGCCAGCCCCAGCATCATATAAAAACGGGCTGTGTAGTGAACTGTAAAGCACTCATTTTAAAAAGATTAATTTATTTGAGGGAGGGAGGAAGAGAGATTGATTGATTTTCCATCTACTAATAGCTGGGGCTGGGTCAGGCCCTAGCCAGGAGCCTAAAACTCCATCCAAGTCTCCCACATTGTTGACAGGGACCCAAGTACCACTGTCTTCCCAGATGCATTAGCAGAAAGCTGGATCGGAAATGGAGTAGTTGGGACTCTGATATGGAATATGGGCTTTCCAAGCAATGGCTTAATTCACTGTGCCACAATACCCACCCCTCATTAAATTTCCATATGAAACTTATAATAAATTTGTTTGCTATAGGCTCTTCAAGGACTTGTAGACTTCTTTAGCATATGTGTTGGAAGGTCTGCTGTGTGTTGTTTCATATCATCTTCAAATAATCTTTTCTGGAATTTTTGTTGTATGATAGTCATCATAGCTAATCAGTCCCTGGAACCACATTGAGAGCCTCATTCCCTGTAGCAAATTTGTGCCAAGTGTGATGTGGTATGGTTCATATGGAGGTGATTATGTGGAGGAAGAGGAGAGAAGTACTTTTTCACAGCTGTAGTGGACAGACTGCTTTTTAGGATAGAATTTCACAACTTACAAAGTAGTTTTGAAGAGTTGGCAACTGATGAATGTTGAATGTATTTTCCAAACTCTATAAATATCTTGTCTGGAACCATGAATGTCCAAGAAATAATCTGAAAATTAAGGATTTTCTTAGGATAATAGGAAAACCAGGCTTTCCTTCAGTGCTTATCTTTAAGCAAGGGAAGCACCCATCTATAATTGTTTTAATTAACTAAGTATCCAGTGTACCTGAATATTATAGTCATTTGTATCGTATTTGAATTAAAGAATAATAAAAGATATCTTAGGACTTGAAGGGTGTGTAATCTTTAGTAAGTTACACATAGCAGCAGTTAAATAGAAGTTAGAATTTATTCTAGTCCCATAGGGATTTGCTAAGCAACAGCCCTTTGCAGTATAGTTGTGACACTTTAAAGCTATCTTGAATTCCAAGATTCACAACTAATCACTGTGACTTAAAATAGCCACCACATAAAATGAACATACACGGAGGAGTCGGAATAGAGAAAGCCCCAGTGGAATGCCGTTGATAGGAATTATACCAGGCCCTCTCATTTGGTAGGGAGTTGGGCAGGCTCACTTACCACATACCAGATTGACAGAATGGGCTGCTCAGATTATTGATTTGGTCAAAGGATGTCTTGAGGCATGCTGTGGATCTTTAGGTTTGTCAGCACATCAAATGTTAAGGGTTTATTGTAGTTGTTCGTTAGTGTTGTGCTTGCTTGTGGTTCTAGAGCTCCACTGATTTGCTATTGCTGATTAACAAAATGTTGCTGCTGATAATGATGGTGATGATGGCTAACACTGAGTGCATTATATGTGCCAAGCACTTGGAATGATTTTACTTATTTGGGGAGGGAGAACCCTCCATTCACAGGTTCATTCCTGCAATGGCTGAGGCTGGGCTGGGGCCAAAGCCAGGAGGTGGGAACTCAAATTATCCTACATGGGCAGTGGAAACTGAATTGAGAGTTATCATTGTTGCCTCCTGACCACTCAGAACACGCACACAGAACACCAAGGCTTAAACACAGAGCCTTGTATTTATTAATGAAGATATAAACATATGGTACTTCATAGAGTTTGTGGGAAAATGGAATTAAAAGATTTGGATTAGCAGGAAGCTGGACTCAGGAGCCAGAGCTGTGAATTGAACCCAGGCACTCCAATATTGGACCTGGGCATCTCAACTACTAGGCCAATTGCCTGCTCCTTGTAGTGATTTTTCTACATGATTTTATTCTCAGAACAGCTCCATGAGGTATCACTGTTATTCTACACTAGAAAGCAGGAGGGGCTGGCTCTGTGGTATAGTTGGTTAAGCCTCTGTCTGTGGTGCCAGCATCCCATATGAGCACTAGTTCAAGTCTTGGCTGCTCTACTTCTGATCCAGCTCCCTGCTAATGGCCTGGGAAAGCAGTATCAGATGGCCAAAGTGCTTAGCCCCTGCACTCACATAGGAGACTTGGAAGAAGAAGCCTACCTTATTCCCTGTAGAATTAGTACTAATGTTCAAAAGCTAAGAGAACTTTGAAGCTTTGTTGAATTACAGGCTTATTTTTTAAAAATAATCCATATGTCAATGATTTTGTAATGTTTATAAACTTAGCAACAGTTCTATGATGAAACTTGAGATCATTGTTGTATGATCTTAACAATAAAAATGCTGTGTCAACATTATCTCCATCAGTTTATCTGGAAAACAAAACCAGTGACAACAACAGAAATTTAAATATTTTGTTAAAGACCTTAATTAAAACATTTGCAGGCTGGCACCGTGGCGCAATAGGCTAATCCTCCGCCTGCGGTGCCGGCACACTGGGTTCTAGTCCCAGTCAGGGCGCTGGATTCTGTCCTGGTTGCTCCTCTTCCAGTCCAGCTCTCTGCTGTGGCCCGGGAGTGCAGTGGAGGATGGCCCAAGTGCTTGGGCCCTGCACCTGCATGGGAAACCAGGAGAAGCACCTGGCTCCTGCCTTCGGATCAGCGCGGTGCGCCGGCCGCAGCGGCCATTGGAGGGTGAACCAACGGCAAAAGGAAGACCTTTCTCTCTGTCTCTCTCTCACTGTCCACTCTGCCTGTCAAAAAAATTTTAAATAAATAAATAAATAAACACATTTGCAGCTAGTTTCTTCTGTGCCCAAGTAGTTAGATGTGTTTTCTAGGTAATATTAAGATACTTAGTCTTGTTCAGGCAGCACTGGTTTTGGGGCTTCTAGCAGGAGAGGTTAGTGCAGGCTATTTTGGAGGCCTGTGTAGTAGTCAGGAAAGACTGCATTAGTGCAGGGGTGGTG